TTACAGCTTAAAACATAGCCCTTAGTTTCTAATTTTGTCATCTGCATATACGTTTAAATGAGAACCAGTTCTTAATCAATTGTACTCTTCTAAAAATCTTTTGCATTAACATTTTATCTTTAGTGTTTGTTCCCTCCCCTTTTCCCCAGAATTGTGGATTTTTTCCCCCTCTTTGAGATGAATGTTTATTTTCCTTTATTAATATAGTTTTTAAAGATAAGGGTTTATCTTATTTATTTATTTAGATAGGTCTTGCTCCGTCACCCAGGCTGGAGTGCAGTGGCATCATCATAGCTCATGGCAACCTCCAACTCCTGGGCTCAAGCGATCCTCCTGCCTCAGCCTCCTGAGTAGCTGGGACTGTAAGCATGAGCACCCAGCCAAGGCTTCATCTTTAGATAATGCATGGCTACTTTGATAAGTGGTATTTTCTTTTTTTTGTTATTTTCCTTCAGACTTTGAAGAAATGAAATAAGTGGAATTTTCAGTGTAGCTCTTATGGCTTTAATTACCATTTCCATGGTAATCACCCTCAAATCTCTTTAGTCTAGCAATGAATTCATCACTGAGCTTCAAACTCATATTAAAATACCTAAGTTTAGGAGATAATAAAAATGTCTATATGCACCTCAAAATCAACATGTAGAAACATCACCTTTTCCTCCAAGCTGCAGGCATTCGTTTCTCCCAGCATCATCTCAAAAAACAAAACCCCAGAAATCTGGGGTTCATCCTAGATTTTCTCTCCCCAAGTCTGTATACCAAATCAATCACAAATTCTTACTAATTTTACTCCTTTAATTTTATCCACTTTTCTCTATTCCTTCGAATACCATCTTTATTCAGGCCCTTATCACTCCGATAGCCTCTCACTTGAGGAAACCAATAGCCTACACTTTACTGATATTGACAATTCAGGGAGGTTTGAAATATAAAGTATCTGAAAACATTCTAGGGGAAAGACATTGTCATAAACATTATATTTCTTCTAGGAAAAAAAATCAATAAATGAAGGATTTTGAAAGCCAGATAAATTGAGCCTTTTAAGAAAGCTGCTTACCTTTTCTTATTCTTCACATTTTTAAGTCCCATTGTATAATCTTCATTTAAACACATAGTATATTCAGAAATACCAAAGTGCTCTAATTTAGGAGTTACACACTCGAAATCATCCATCTTTAGTGCACATTTTGGAGTTTTTAGTACTTTAGCTGGTGATTGGCTGGTAGCTGGAGTTATAATTTTGGGCTCTTCCTTTCGGTCGTTTACTGCGTGTGTTGGTTTTGGTAGAACTTGGGATACCATGTACCGCTCAAGTCCAAAATCTGAAAGCTGTGGACTGCGTGGAGACTTCTCAGAAACAGAATTGCAGGCAACAGTAGGATCACACAGATCATCCTTCACATCAGGCTTTTGAAAAATTTCACATTCAGACAACTCTGGGGTAGAGTCAATGACTTCCTGCTCACACACTAGGAGGAAAAATCAAAGAAGTAATATTCTGGTCAAACATCAAAACAGAAAATCTCATGTTTACAAAAAAAACCCCGGAAAACAACTTCATCTGAAATTTCCCAAATCAGCAAAAGTCCTGATTCTCTAAAAAATTTTATCTCAATTTTCCCTTCAGTAAATGTCTGACATGTACCTCTTGTCCTGTCATATTCCATTTTGATTATACATTAGAGAAGGAAAGCAAACTAAAGTGTTAAAAGATGAAAAATTAGTATTCACAAATCAAGGTCCATTTTCCTTACTTCCTCAGTGAATGCAATTTACCAGTCTATCTTAATGTTTTCTGAAAGTATTTTATCATTTTATTTCATTTTATGACATTGATTACAGTGTGGAATTAACTGTTCTAGATTTAACACCACCATATACTAATATTTTTAAGATTTTTAACTGTCAGACGCCTAAGTTAGAAAGGCATCTGGAAGGAAAACACTGCTATACAAAGATAAATTTTATACTAAGTCAGTCTGGAACACTCATATCAAAAGCCTAACTGAAAAAAATAACAGAACATTTGAAAGATACATAGTTCTTCAATCATTAATAGGTTTTATACTTTGATTTCATGGTTTTTGGCCCTTAGAAGAGCTTCTGATTCGTCTATTTCTGTTTTGGCACTGTGCTTTCTGTTTATTTTGAGGAATGCTACAAGAATTGTCAAAACCCTACTGATGTATTTATATAGCACTATCACTGATGAGATTAATAAAATAAAACCATTGCCATTATCACTACTCCATAGGGAGATATTATTATCCCCATCTCACAAGTGAGGAAAATGCAATTTAGAGAAATTATCCAAGGTCACACATGTAGTAACTGGCAAAGCTAGTATTTGAATCCACGGCTCTTTTACACCGAAGTCAACTGAATTCTTCCTATTATACCATATGGGCTGTTTAATATACCTTCCACACACAACCTCAATACAGACTTGTTCAATTTAATTAATATTTTATTTATGTGCAAAGATCATTTGCACA